ATGAATCATTCCACTTTCTGTCACTCTTCCTCTGTTATTCTCTGCTTCCTCCTCTGATCCCTGTCATGTCCCCCTGAAGTCTCATCCTGGTGATGCCGAAACATTGTCAGCCCATCCGAACACACACACACCCACACCTTATCACCACTCGCATGTTGTTGCTTTAGCCGGGCATATAAACATTCACCGGACTTGAACCTCAGTAAGCGAAGCATGAGGATTTAACCACGTGGAATTATGTCACCAAACACAACACATTTCAGCTCGGCTCACTGTCAGAAGCGCATGGATGTTGCCAAGAGCAGAGAGGGGGGGACTCTTACATCAGAAGGCCTGGCTAGTGAGGACTGGATAGGCACTGACTCACAAGGAGGGGGTGTAGTTTCTCTCTGTGTTTTTGAAGTAGCATAGCTGGAGGTGTGGGCGTCGGAAGGAGCTGTAAAGTTAAGAGATATAAGCTGGTCCAGGATGGATAATGACTGACAGGGAAGCTCAGACAGAGAGCAAACTGACAGCAGACGAGCAGAAACAGGCTGCTGCCAGGGGGTGTTGACACCGCTCAGGGTATAGGCAGATCAACACTTTATGTGACAGTGACACATGACACATTTAGATGTGAGCTCTTTGTGTGCAAAGAGATGTTATTTCTATTCCCCTAGCACAAAAACAAGCAGCTCGTCAGGGCTGTTATCAACCTCTGAGATGCTGTTTACTCGGTCAGATGTGATCTCTGAAAGAATGTATAGGCTTATGTCAGAAAAGGTTTAAAGTTTGCTTTGGTGAGTGGAAATCTTAATCCACTGTTTGCTCTGCTTGTGAGCTTTGTACCCAGACCCAGCATGATAGCAACCTGAAGGGGATGACAAGATCTTAGCTCCTACCTGATGGCTAAAGGCCAACTGCTGTCTGCCAGCATGCAGCATTTGTCTTAAGCCAGCTGGAGTCACACACAGGCCGTTATCTCTTAGAGTAGTGAGACACCTACTGGCCAATGTGAGTCATGTCATGTAAGAGGTTTGAGGCAGAGAGCATGATGGGATTTACACTTGATGCATGAAGTCAAACACTTTTGGGCATAGTGGACACTTGCACTGGTAAATCTGATATTTAAGTCAGTGTCTCCTATAGAATAAAATATTGGAAAAAAATAAAGTTATTATCTGGAATGCTTTATAGAGAATGTACCATACATAAAGCTGCAACAAATAATCAGCTGATAGAAAGACAATTAAGTGCCAACTATTTTGATAACTGAATAATCTTTTCAGTCATTTTTATGCATAAATGTCAAACATTTGCTGGTTTCAGCTTCTTAAATGTGAGAATGTCAGGGTTCCCAAGATCATGGAAAACCTGGACAAGTCATCGAATTTCACGGTCACGTTTTGGAGGCTGAGAATAATCATTGACATGGGCAAAAGTCATTGGAACTTTTGGAAGAGTCATGGAAGTTTGTCATGTGTAATGAAATTTTAACCGTAATCGTCCCTGGATAAACTTTCATGTAATGTAATACGAGGGCAAATTCATTTTTTGTAGCCGATAATGTAACGTCGCCATAAAATGCATTGATGCTTGACAACATATCGTTTACCTTCATGCACATGTCTATATTATCTTCCCACGTTCCGTTCTTCTCCTCTTGTATGCACGCTAACTCAAATGATGTATGAGAGAGTTTAAATCTAATAGTAATAGTTAATAATAATAGTTTTTAGTAGGGGTGTAACAGTACACAAAAATCTCGGTTCGGTATGTACCTCGGTACACAAGTCACGGTTCGTTTTTTTTTCGGTACAGTAATGAAAAAAATAGACAACTATTAAATATCTTTTACTTATTGGTAACCTTATTAAAACATACCACCACAGCAGTTAACTCTTTTTACACAATTTTTGAATGAAACAAATATATATAAAATCCTGCTTTTTCACATTGTTTGAATGAAGATAGAAATATAAAAGTGAAAAATAAAATCCTGCTGTTTTTTTAACACATTTTTTGAATGAAAAATATAAATATACATTTCTGCTTTAACAGTTTAACTCAATTAAAATAAAAAGTATAGTGCAGCTGGTCAGCTTTAAAGCCTGCTCAGATTCAGTTTTACTAGGAACTTACTTAGCTTTCCCACTTTGTTAAAGTGCAGTAAACAAAACATGCTTATATCTAAAGTGCAGCTTAAACAATTTTACTCAACTCCAATGGCGTTGATTATTTCTTTAGCGCGATGGTCAGGGAAACGCTCTTTCTTTTTAAACGACAACGATATTGTAGTTTGCACCAGATTGCTTTTTCTAGTCGTGCCGGTTAACGTTCAAACTCGGGTGGTGTCGCTTTAGATGCGTTAGCTTGTTAGACGTGTTTCCAAGTACATACCCGACCTCTGTTCTGCAGTGTTGGCACACTGCTTTTGTCTTGTCAACTTGTTTATTTCCATCTTCGTATTTTACCCTGAAACCAAAGTGTTCCCAAACGGAGGACTTAAGGTTTGCGGGTGGGCCTTCAGGTTCGTCAGGCTCACTTGTCATGTTGTCAAAATGCGAGAATGCGCTGCACAAAGTGAAAGCGGAGATTTACGGAACTTGATCCGTCACTCAATTATGTCCGTCGGGGAACTAGATAGTTTAAATGGTTCGGCTCGCAAAAACGGAATTAAAATAAAACAAAATAAAATAAAATAATATCCTGCGCCCAATAATTCGGTACAGGGTCGTGCCGAACCGAAAGTCGCGTACCAAACGGTTCGACACAAACACATGTACCGTCACAGCCCTAGTTTTTAGGTTTTGGACTGTTGGTTGGACTAAAAAAGATATTTGAAGAGGTGACTTTGGGCTCTGGAAAATTGTGATGAGGTTTGTTTATTTTATTTTATCTTATTTAACTTTCTGGCATGTATAGACTAAACTGTTTAATTGCTTCATTGTGACAATAATCTGCAGATTATTTGATTATTAAAATGATTGTTAGTTGCAGCCCTAATCATAAAAAAATCATCAGTTTGCATGATAGTTATAAAAGCCAGCACACCTCCCATTGGTTGGTCATGCTCTCCTGTTGATTGGCTTGTAGAGTTTCACCTGTCCTAGTTTTGTTAATATTAAAGTAAAGAACTGAAGCAGCTAATAGATTAATGGATTAGTCACAGAGAATCATCTGTCAACTATTTTAACAAACGATTAATGAAGTAATTTTTCAAGAAAACTGACGAAAGTTAACTTCTTCCACCTTCTTACTTGTGAAGATTTGCTGACGTCTTTGTCTCATGTGATAGTAAACTTATTCTTTCCTGGGTGTCAGACCATTGGTTGGACAGAACAAGAAATCTGAAGACCATCACCAATGATTAGACAAAATTATCAACTGATTAAAGGTGGAGTCAAATTCGTTAAACGTCTCCTCACGGACGACTTGCTGTCCATTCTCTGTATGTGCTGAAAATAAAATCAGGTGTACATAGACCGCTCTGGCTCTTTGAATGTGAAACAAAGAAAGTGGCCGAGCCATACAACACTAACACAGCTCATCTTCCTCTTCCACGTCCTCTGCCATGAAGACTGGAGCTACATCATGACAGTAATGTGATGTAAATAACTTTGAAGAGATTACAGCTTCTGAAGGAGCAATGAGAGGAGGGGTGTATTTGTTTTGGTGTTGACTTCAAATATAGATAATCTCTATAAGCAGATACAGGAAGCAACAGGACAAGATTTTGGTATTGGAAACATCCTGGTTACTCTGTTTGCAGCCCGAGCAGTAGGGCTGCAACTAACCATTATTTTCATTGTCGACTAATCTGTCGATTATTTCTTTGACTAGTCGACTAATCTTTTTATCGAAAAATGTGTTAAAATGTTGAAAAATGTCGGTGTGTCTCTCCCAAAACCTAAAATTATGTCATCTAATGTCTTGTTTCGTACTCACGCCAAAGGGTTTTAGTTCACCGTCATGGGAGAGTGTGTAAAGCTGACAATATCTGAACAGAAGAAGCTGCAGTAAGAGTATTTTGGGGTACTTTTAGTAGTAGTACTTTCGTATGAAAAATGACTCAAACCGATTAGCCGACTACTAAAATAGTCACTGATTATTTTAATAGTCGATTAGTCATTGATTAGTCGACTAATCGTTGCAGCCCTACCGAGCAGCATTGACCAATCACGTTTTAGGGGCAGGTAAGCAGTCTATGTGATGGTGGAACACATTGGCTGAAATTAAGCTCAGTATCTATTTTTTCATACATTTAATAGCCTCCAGAAATTTCCCCAGGGTCTACAGTACATGATGGTATTTGCATGCAGCGCTCACCATGCCCCTACACCCCCTCCTCGGCGATTTCGGAACCCATCAGTTATCGGTTTAGCTTTAAGTAAGCTTTTAAAATGTATCTGCATTCATCTGGAAAAATCGAAGTCTAGAGTTCAGTCGCAGGGACGAGGGAGTCTTGGCCCGAGTATCGCTCGCTATACTGGAGGAGGCTGATTGAAATATCAGCCATCTTTCCCATGAATCATAGACTTCACCTTCAGTTGAGAAATATTTTGGCAGATGAATCTCTAATGATAGTAATTGTTACCTGCAGTCCTACACGCTTGTCTGGTCCTGTGTGCTGGACATTCAATCAAATGTAATTACATAATAATAATTTTATAATTCTTGTACCACCGTTTGGTTTTATAGTTGAGATGCAGAGGAGCTCTGATGGTCAAACTGTGAGGGAAGGTTTACTGAGAACAAGGTCACGTCCGTTAATCTGTCTCATAGTTGCTAAAACTGAGAGTTGAGAAGATGCAGCACCAAAGTTTCCACCAGAACAGACGCTACAGATCTCATTAGTGCGATGGCTGATGGTTTGTTGAGCACTCACACCAAACCAGATCAGCTATTGGATTTTTTGGCAGCGTGCATTTATAATGGCTGCGTGGGTTTTCCTCATGTTCAGAAGAATCATTCTGCCTTCCTCTCTGTCTCTCCCTTTTGTTCTCCTCACGTTCACACAGACAGCAGGAGCCAGCCTCAGAGAAAGACAGGGCTCGATAGATAAAGACAGCCACACAGAAACAACAGGCTAACCTCACGTCCAACACTATGCGCATCTGACACACAACTGGTGAGTACGGCCTCGTCTTTGTGAGAGCAGCTTGTTTTTGGGAGTGTGGTGGCAGCACAGGTGTGTCTGTGTACAGTACTGTTTTTTTTAATTCTCCTAGCATATGATTACAGTCACACACACCTCAGTTAGAGGAGCAGATATGACTGTATGCTGTAGGGTTGTCATGAAAGATACCAGAATTTTAAACTTGGATATGATACTCAATGCGTCTTTTGATAGCAGAGCAAAAATGTCCTATGATATCGGAACATTTTATTATTCCATGAACAACCTGCACACAGTGCTGGTACAGGAAAAGTTAGTGAACACTGTCACATGGTGGGTTTGTCGCTGGAGAGGACTCTGATTGTATACGTAGTTTAGGCACCGTCGAATAATTAACAGAGATGTATCGCTTTAAATGCATGGTATCAAAAAGTATTGATACCTGTGACAACCTTACACAAAAGTGTAGCTCAACAAACTTAAAGAACGAAAACTTTAATCTGTTTTGAGTGTTTATCTTTGACTGAAAACAAGGTTGCTAGTTAAATGGGACACTTGGGTCACAAAATGTATTTTAATTTAAAAAATCCCTAGGCTGTGTGTGTGTGTGTGTGTGTGTGTGTGTGTGTGTGTGTGGGGTGTCTGTAGAAAAAACTCCCCTGTGATATCTGACATCATAGCCCAGGGGCACCCCAGACAAACAACAAGACATACGTAGGTATTAGAGCAGGAAGTGGGGTAATTACAGATGTGTGACTTTATGAACAACAGACAGACTCAGACTTGTAAATACAGACGGGCTATTGCTTCCTGTGTAGTTATGCACTACTGTCAAACAATGGGAGGGAAGTTGACATGATGTAGTGGTGTTTGCTCTCGGCCGAGCAGAATGCAACTGTGGAAAGCAGCTAATGGCTCTTAAAGCACCGGCCATCTCAGCTCCAGCCTGTGGCCAGCCAAAAAGACAGACCGAGAGACGGACACACACACACACACACACACACACACACACACACACACACAGAGGTCTGCATTGTTAAGTACACAAGGGAAGGCTTTGCTGGCCTTCAGTATTCTAAGCAGCTTCTTATTTTTCATTTCGGTGTCTTTGTGCTTTTGGCACAGAAGAGTCTCTGAGGTGTTTCAGTCACGGCAGAGAAGAATATTCAGGAATATTGAAATATCATCATGATAAGAAAATTCTTTACACTTTAATCTATCTGCAAAAGATGTGGACACTGAGCCTCTGATCTCACATCCATGTATAAAAAAATCATCACATGCTTAAATAATTTCTCACTGTGTCTGTATCAGTCCACGTGACCACATATTCATCCAGACTGGGATATTAACACTTGAGTTACTATAGTGTTTTGTTTTTTTTTTTTTTCATTTTGATTTTTAATTTTTTTTTTTATTAAGTAAGTCATTTAATTTAATTTAATTTAATTTAATTTTTTATTTTAACTTTATTTAATTTAATTTAATTTAATTTAATTTAATTTAATTTTTGTGTGTGTGTGTTTAATGGGACAGAGCCAACATCTAAAAAGTTCAGAATAGGTATTAGAATACAAACACAACACTTTGTAAATTGCAAATGAACCAGTGCCTCCTGATGCTTGTTGTATTGACAGATTTGACCAAAAATGACTTAAAATCATTCCCTGTATATTTTTTATTTCATTTTACTTAATTTTTTAAATACACTATACTCTTTTTTATTTAGTTTCCATTTTCTCTCTTAAGTCTAGTTCTTATTTTTAGTACAGTTAAATAAAATGACTTCTCACACCTAGTTTTAGTTATAGATTAGTTTTAATTAACTATAATAACTTTGATTGACAGAGGAACATGGATACTTGAATTGTCTTTTTTCAGATACCATGGGTGTTAATAAATTATGCGCGTGCTAAAACTATTTAACGATTATCAGATTCACAGGGGAAAAGGCGACACTGTTGCTAAATTCCTTAAATCAGTGACTCTCAAATGGTGTCATGATGCACATCCAGGTGTGCTGTAGAATTTTGTTATAATCACATTATTATTGTAATGCTCAGCTGGACCTGTACAAAAAGTTCTGAATGAATATTTTAATTGACTGTATCAGTATGTTGTGCACGCCCATTATAAGTGTATGACACAGACACGTCACATTATCTTACATTATTTTCTTTTTAAATGGATGTGTTAGTCGTGCTTTGATGTGATTTTAAAAAGTTTAAAATGAATTCTTGAATCATTTTGTTAATAGAGTAATAGTTGGTTTTCGATCATTATTTGATATTAGTAAATAAAAATAAACATTTATGTTGTGATAAGAGTGATAACACACGTTATAGAGGCTGTTGTGCACAGATATTAATACAGGTGTGTCTTGAGATTTTGGCTCGTCCTCGTCCTGACATTGTCAAGAAAACAAACAGATATAATCTAGTTACAGTTTTAAATACTTATTAAGCAATTGTACACTCATTCATGTGTTTGGTTCAATTCATTATATCATACTGACAATGGCATGAATGACACACAGGGCCCAGGTACTCACATAGTCAGTAGGTTTTTTGGGCAAAGACAAACTAACCAAACTAACCCAAAGACATATGATTAAACCTTATTTGTTTCCAGCAGCCAGTTTGTGTTCTCCTGAAACTCTGTTAAATGTTGAAATTCAGGATATTCCTCTCTGGTAGCCAGTTGACAAAAGTAAACAGGAATCTCTTCAGTGTCCGGCCTGTGGAGTTACTGAGTGGCAGTGGGTCGTGCTCCAGTGTCGCGTGTAAGCTGTTTAGTGTTGTGGCTCGAACTGACAGCTGCTTTCTCCAAACCCCTTTCACAGAAGATCTCTTCCTAATGCTCAGCCTAAGCTCCTTCTGTCCTGTCCCTTCTTGTGTGTAGTGAGTGACAGGCTGTGAAAGTGAGCGTCCATATGGAATTCACCGGCGTGCTGGGACAATCACTGGACCTGTCAACACCTTCACTGCCACCTCAAGTTCACTCATAACTAATTTTCCGAGGTTGAATTCAGTTCAGTTGTTGATTCGGTCAGTGCTTTATGAGGTCAGCCTGACAGTGCTACCGCTTACTTCAACCAGTAGGTGGTGCTGCTGCCACAGGCTGATTGATGTGTCTGCTTCAGTCTGAAGGTGATTATGGTTGAGATGTGCAAAATGTACTCACAGTGGCATCCTGTTAATGTGTGTGTTTTCAGAGGGCCGGGCGGGCTTTGCTGCAGCTGAGGATGATGAATGGTCTCGTGCGCTAGAGCTAGATGGTGTGGGAATGATGGACCTCCCTAATGGCCAATCAAGCATCACCACCAATGCTGCAACAGTCTCTGAGGTGAGGCCACACCCACTTGCTATACCACACTTCATTGTGCGTGCTTCTTTTAGCGCTTTAGACACTTACCTGTGAGTTCCTGGTGAGGTGATAAATATTAAGCCAACACGTTTTTCAGTGATCCTCAGCTGTGCTGCGACACCATGTTGGTTATTTAGCCTTCTTGAACCTTGCATACTTCACCTCTCTTCCACTTGATAACCTTGTTCTTAACAGCGCAGCCATCATTCCTCTTAACCTTGTGATTTAACGGTGTCTTCTAGAAGAGCAGCAGCTCAGAGTCTCTCAGCGATAAGGGTTCTTCGGACCTGAAGAAGAGTTTTGACGCTGTTGTTTTCGATGTGCTGAAGGTCACTCCTGAAGAATATGCAGTAAGTGAAGTTAAAGTGTGTGCGCGTCTGTCCTTGTCTGGTTAATCTGTATGTATGAGTGTTTAAAGAACGAAATGTTCAGTAAGCACAAAAGTGATGTGCTGACTTCAGATAGGAGGAGATGGGATGATAGAGGAGGAAATGGGGTCAGAGTTTGGATCAGTAATAATTGATGATGTTTGGCAGTGCCAAGCAGCCACTCATAGATTTGCTCTGGCTGCCTCTGCACAAACTTTCCATGGTGACTGTGAACAAACACAAGTTGCATTACTGTTAAAATAATCTTACCTTGTCATTAGGAGTAATGTTGCTCATGGTCGTCTCATGATTAATCAAATAAAAGAATGTTCCTCATCATGTCTGGAATCTTGTATCAGAGCTTTGATGTTTGTCCATTAGTCTGCACCATCCAACCACAAGAGGGCACTCTTGATCTTCTTTTTCCTTCAGCGTCTTCATTTCACATCTCTCCATGCCATATCAAGGTGCACTCAGTGAAAGACCACAGTCAGTCACACCCACCTGCTTCAGATGACACAGGCTCTCCAGTAAAAGCTCTATTAGTCACCAAACTTTTATTTTAGTAACCTGAGATTGGACTGTGAATGATTGTTTTCTCGGTTCACAGTAATGTAGTTGGAAAACTGTGACAGTTTGTTGTCAGTTTGTCCCAATTTTAACGCAGCAAATCTAACAACTGCTGTGTTTTCTCTCCCCCAGGGCCAGATTACGCTCATGGATGCTCCTGTGTTCAAAGCCATCCAGCCAGAGGTGAGCTGCTCTCAAATCTGTAGAGAGAGGAGAGGTGTTGACTGCATTTTGTGGATGTCATTTTTGATGAAAATCAATTGCACACGTAACACAAATGCTTATTAATCAAGAACAGATCAGTCCAGTGGAGAATTTCCATACAGCGATCAGCCGCAACACTGCAACCACTGACAGGTGAAGTGAATTGATCATCTTGTTACAATGTAGTGTTGACCTGGGAAACCTTGAGTCCTGGTGTTATGTGGACGACACTTGACATGCACCACTCACACAGTGCCACAGACCAACTTCCCCCTGCTCAGGAATGGGCTGAAGAACATGACAAAGAGCTCAAGGTGTCGGCTTGACCTCCAAATTCCCCAGATCGTAATCTAATCAAGCACTTGTAGGAGGTGTTGGTGCCCCGAGGTTCTGCGTCCATGCCTCGACAGGTCAGAGCCAGGTCTGAGCCATCGTGGGACCTCTGACCTGTTGAGTCACGGACACAGGGCTTCTGGGCGTATCCTGTGGTGTTAGGCACAAGGGTGTTGGCTGCGAATGCTTTGAGTCCTGTAGATTGTAAGTAGGATACGGGCGCCTCCTATGGACGCTCGATTGGATTGGGATCTGGGGAATTTGGAGGCCAGGTCGATGTCTTTGTCTCGGTCCATTCCTAAGCAGTTTTTGCAGTTTGGCAGGGTGCATTGTCATGTGGGGAGGCCACTGCCACTGCCATTGCAACGAGGGGATCTGGTGCATGTCAAGTTTCATCCACATAATGCCAGGACCCAAGCAGAACATTGCACTACAAGGAGATGATCATCGTTTTTTACTTAACCTGTCAGTGGTTTTGTTGTTTTGGCTGATAGGTGTATGCATATTTAAGCTTTTACTCTGTCTGTCTCCTTCTGTCCTTCTCTTTTCTCCCTTTCAAAATTTCCATGCAGTTCACTTCCCTGTAGCACGCTGTGATCAGAACAACCATGCAGAGCCACATATCATAGTTACGCATCTGTGTCTCACCCAGTCTTACACACCTCGTCTGTTGCCTTAGTGAGCGCCGGCGTAATCTCTTTTGGACTGTCAGGCCCTTCCTGACAGCAGTCACGGATAACCTGTGTTTAAGGTTGGCCGCTGTGGGCTTATAAAAGCAGCACACAGACCGCATCCCAGTGCGGTGTGGTACACTCTGACTCCTGTGACTGCATATGTGCAACACTTGTCTCAGGCTCAGCTACCAGCACACACACTCGTCTGGCATGATATCACTCGCTGATCCGCACTTTGATCCAATTAGATATCAATGCCATTGTGTGGAGTGACGTTTGGTTTCTTGTTAATAGTTTGTTGTGTCTGAGTAATGGAAAAGGCTAAAGATGAAAGGTTCTGAGGGGCTCTCGTCAGGGCTTGTCTTTGGGGTTATTGCTGTTCTTTCGCTCAGAGGGAAGCCATTGGCGTCATCTGGACTCCAGCCCCATCACCTCAACTGCACGGGGCCAAGTTCACACAGAGGCAACTGCAGGGTTTATAAAAGCCAGCATGCTCCTGACTGACCGACTGAGTGGGTTTTATAAGCCTAATGAAATTGTGTCCATGCCTTTAAGTCCAATGTAGCAATTTGGAAAGTAAGGTAAAGCTTTAAAGGGTCAGGTGCATGAGGAAATGGTTTCACTTACTGCCTTAAGATGCTGAGGTCTTTTAGAGAGACCTGCAGTGGGATGTGATGGGGAAGTGATTTGGGAAGGAGTCACTGGCCGGATTGAGGGGGAGGGCTGACAAGTTGAAGGCTGCAGTCTGGAGGGAGTGAGGGAGCAGAGTGTACAGTATGCAGAGTGACCCAGCAGCATCCTGGCAGGGACAGAGTGGGCTAGAGAGGCTTTTCCTGCTCTCACGGTGCTTTTGTCTCGAGGCACCGGCTGAAAAAAGCTACACAGCTATGACCGAACCAAAACTCAACTAGAGTTTCCACTGCTGTCAGTCTCCTCGCCCTCCTCACAGACACATAATGGGAAAAGCAGGTGTGTGTATGTGTGTGTTGGTGCACGCCTGCTGTTTCACTCGGCTCACTGCCTGAATAGGAAAATATTAAATAACTTGGTTGAATCTGTGAGTTGTGCAATAATGTTTTTACTGACATGCAGCCCACTTTGCTTTTTTAAGCACCCTTTAAATGCCATGTTTCAACACTAAAACCTACATGGACACATTTATGGTAGCTAAAGAAGGGCTTTTTAATAAATTGGAAACAGTAATAGACATAATAGGAGTTAAAATGTGTATTCATGTAGAGCAGCATATTCTCATTTGTAAGAGCTGAAAAAAGACAGTGTGAGTTTCCATGATGTGGTATGTTGTAATTCTTATTTGTTAAAATATTTTAGAGGGAGTGAACTTTCGGTTGGATATGATGCTTCACTTTTCATGCTTTACTAAAGTTTGACAACTCCAGATGTTTTTCAGAAGGTCTCAAGTTAACGTATTTTGACTTTTTGCTTAATAACAAACAAAAGACGATTCAAATTTTCCATCAGATAACTTCCAAGTGTTTCTGGGCTGTGGTCGCTCAGATTAAAAATGTTTTTACTGCACGCTCTGTGAGTGACCTTGCTGCACAGTTACTGTTGATAAACTCAGCCTGCTCTTCAGTCATATTACTGCATGGTGCAAATGTTGTCATCTGCGCGGTTTACATGTTCTGTATTAGCAGTCTGTCACGCTCAAGCTACTCGAAAGTTACTGTTTTCACCATCCTTCCAAGACTGTGGTAATTTCCATAATAACTGCACTGACTACTGAAATAGTTTAAATGACCATAAACTAGCTGTAACTTGGCCTGTTGATGTCTGTGTTCAAGATTTTATTTCTCCCCTTTCCATAAACACATCATAACTGTCTTAATATAATATATATTTGTGTGTGTTTGAGGAAGAGAGCGCGGAAGAGAGGGACGTAGTGTCCAAATGTTATTTTTTATGTTTACAATGTTTTGAACATGTGTATATGACGCACAAACAGACATTCTGGCATGAGCTGGGAAAATTACCCCAGACAGGACTGCAGCAGAACAGAGGATCTCATTAACTCGAGTGTTCCAACGCTGACATGGAGCAGATGTATGGAGAGCAGCCGGCAAGGTTTAGCCAGACCCTCTGGATGAGGAAGAAAAAAAGATATGTGTCTGTCACAATAGCAATAAAAGATTATACATGAGAACGGTGGGTAGAGGCACTGAAAACAGTGTGAGGAGATGGTATAAAGTCTGGCCAACACCTCTGGGCAAGAAGCACAGTTCACGATCCTTTGTCTTATAAACTGTGGATAAATATAGTGGGAAAAATAATGGATAACAACTGGAGAGGGCAGCGTTTCTAAATAACTCTTTGATATCTGAAAAGCCTCAAGAGAGCCAGGTCCGAGAGCTCGAGCACATGCCTCTCTGACACAGCAGACGGCACAGAATCTAAACACATCTGCTTTTGATGATTCGTTAAGTGACAGCTCATTAGACCTTGCCATGCATGAGGGTTGCAGTAATTTACTTCCTACACGTAATGGACCCTCGTCAGCATAATGCTCGTCCCTGTGAACAAACGGCTAAAAGATGGCGGAGAAATTGACGGAGAGTTGGTGAGCAGAGCATCGGCAGACGCTTTAATTGATGAGAACACCAGAAGTTATTTTTTGTTGGTAAAATAATCTATAGTGCAGAGCAGACTGATGTTTAATCTACAACCCTCTGCTGAATTGCTGATATGTTCTTTGGCTGTTTGGTTTGTAAAGTGAAATGCCATTGAAACGACAAGACGGATCAGAGAGAGGGAGAGGGGGAAGGATGCAAGGGACTTGAAGCTAAATCTTTTTCTCTCATCTAAATTTACGAGGCAGTGATTACTAATGGGTTGTAGCATCGTCTGCTTTTATTAAGAGTGAACTGGATTGGATGGCTCCATTGTAGTATGGACGGATCAGCTGACAGGTGAGATGTGGAGAGTAAAATGATGTGTAAGTGAAAAAGGAGCAAGTTTAGAGAATCATGATGAAATAAAAGAACATTAAAGGACTTTTCCTGCCTTCATCTCTCTGTTTTTCTGTCCCTGTAGACCATTTCTAATTTCATAATCAGACGTGTGGCGATGATCTACAGCTGGATGTTTATGAAATAGAGGCTGAAAGGAAAAGAAAGATTGAGTGATGTACAGGGACTGGAAGGGGGGGGGGGGGGTTGCCTTTGTTTTTAACACACAGTCATGACAACAGCCAAGTTAGTAATTTAGTGGCTTTGCCTGGCGAGCTTCAGCTCAAAGGGAATAGCTATCAGATTGCATTTTACGTACCGCTGAGAAGTATGTCAGTTCCTCTCCTGTCTGAGCGCCCAGCGTAAAAATCCTCTGAACAGACTGAAGGTCTCATGTGAGATGGTGATGACTTGTAGTTGGAGGCAGGTAACGTTTCGCATACTCGGGCCCGTCTCGCCTGCACGCTTAATGTGTTCCAGCACTGATTGTGAGATAAAAAACATTTACTCAAATTTTTTCTGTCATAAAGTCACAGCTGAATCTGAGATGCTGCATACAGTTCTCTGCAGGGCCCTGTAGTCTGCACATGTTGTTTTCTGGTGGAGGGATTGGACAATAATTGCTTCACAACAAACACAGAAGGGAATCCCACCCACACTCCAGCCTGTCAGTATAACGGTCAATACACATTCATCATGCTGAAAGGTAGAGAAAATAATGTTTTGGCAGTAAAGACAGAAAAACAACAAGGACACGTTTTTCCCTGTCAAAGAGGATTTTGACTGAACATTGAGATTTGGTTTGAAAAAAAGGTGCCAATTGGAAATACTTTAAGAATCTGTCAGATGCATCAAAACACATTTAATTACTTATCTCTCCCCCACCATTACTGTGAGTTTTTAATTGTGTTCACAGTTTTCTTTTGGAATATGACGATGTATCATTAATGGAGACATTTAGGATGAGAACAAGCAAATCACGAGGGTAGACCTACCTCTAGAGCCA